CACTATGTAGAGGTTTATAAAAGGAACAACAATTAAATTAATTAAGAACATGTAGTGGCAGTGTAAGGATATCCACTACCCCACATCATCCCGTGGGTGTCGTAAGAGGCGACAGTGGGAAGCAAATTAAGACAATAAAAAACTGCGTTTGGCAATCCGCTTGCCAAGCCTGGAAATTGTGGAAAATATCCCCCCTATTGGGCAATCTTTAGTGGAGGCCTATGTTCAACAGTGGACTTTATTATGTTGTGACGGTATAGCGGTAATAAATGAATCATTCAAGGTTTTATAGTTGTAGTTAATATAGACCATAAAGGCTAAGTATCTTTCGTATACAATTTTTAACTAAATGTATTAAACCATGAGAAAATAATTCTTCTGACAGATAATAAAAACGACAAAAGTTAGTTTAGATCAATAGTTAGTACTCCGTAAATAGAAAAAATTATTTAAATCAAATTAACGAATTTGTGAGGTGATTTCATCGACATATTTAACCAAATTTGTTGATTTAAATCGGAAGAGAATTCAAAGGATTTATTATAAAACTAGTTTCAACAAGATGAAACATAAAGTAGTTTCTATTTTTAAATAAATATTATATAACCAAATTATTTAACGTCAGGTTTTTTATTAAATTTCCAAATATGATATGAATGAGAGACAAATTCTATTAATACTAAATTTGAATTACATCGCCTTCTAATTAATTGGTTTATATTCCAACTTAGTTCAAGAATCCGCCATTACTACTGAATCCGTCATTCCGTAATATCCAAACCAAGATTAATGAGCGAATATTGTACATAATATGTGTTTTTAATACTCATGTCACTAGCTCGGTTCATGTCACTTTAACATTGAATAGAAAATAATACTTTTTAATATAGTAAACAAGTAATTTTTATTAAAAGTTTTTTTTACTTATACCACTTATATTATACCTTGACCAGTTCATTAGACTTTGATCATTCGTCACAAATAATCAAGATTACTAAAAATATAACTAACTTAAAATAATGTGAAAATTAAAATATATATAAATATATTTATTAGAGTCGACTGAAATTTAATCACATAAATATATTTATTTGATGTTGAAATTGTTATACTTATCGAATGTTACGAGTATTTAATTATAATATAAAAAATGTTGAATTAAAAATGTAGATTTATATAATTATATTATTAAATTCATATTAATGTTCTAAATTCAAAATAAATTACTATACTCTTTTTGAAATGTAATATATTTGGAAGTTTCGAATTTCACATAAAATTTTGATACCTAAAATGCGATAGTTAACTTTTGTAAAATTTTATTTGGTCTATCCAAAAATTCTACGCTACCAACTGTTTGTCTGTAAAAGTGTTGATTATTAACGAAATAAAAAAGCTATAATAATTTTAAGCGCGTAAAAATATAGTATAGATTTCTAATTAAGACAAGATATTTACTTAAAACCGACATGTTGAATAGAGAAAGCAACATAATGATAAATAGTCTTACTGTGTAAGTGGTGGCTTAAGAAAATCCAACCCATCAGCTTATTTAGTCCCGTGGGTGTGGTAATAGGTGACTATTGGATATGCCAGAAAAAAATTACTTTCTAACATAAATTGAAATGACGAACGAACTTCCAGCCTAGCTGATGGTAAGCAGATACTGAAGCTCATGGACAATAGCAAACAACTTCAAAGAACTTACAGATGCGTTGTCACCTCCCAGGACTAATATACCTGGTAACCTTTCATTATATTGAAACACTAGTCCACCTGACGGTATATCAATACTACATAGGTACCGCAATCAACTTCAAGCAAACAACACTGCAAATACATTGTCAACCCTGAGCACTAAGATGGAGCGCCCCACAGCCTGTAAATAAACTGGCTCTCTATAATTCTAAAGACGAGAAAACAGCAGTACAACTACTCTTAGCTTTCACTAGATGGCAGCATAGTCATCTCTCGTTTACTCCAGGCTTAAAATACCAAGACCGGCGATGAGACAGCAACGTCAAAGGTACTCTTGGTATTGCTATCATCCGCTTAGCAAACGTGACGATCAAAGCTAATTCTCCTTACAATGGAGAGGTTTATTTCCAGCACTAGATTTCACCGGCTGCTGATGAAGAATAAGAAGAATAAATTGAATCGTTCGTTTCACAGTGACTGAGCAAAAAGTTGCAGCACCGAGGGCCGCGGTTCCGAATCCCGTAATGAACACGTATTTGTATGGCCTACAAATAATTGCTCCTGATTAAGATCGGATGATTGTGCACGTGAAATTTATGTATGTGAACTAATAAGGAGAAAATCCTAGAGTTTACAAAAAACAAAAAATAGACCTCACCTCAGATTATACATAGATAGAATAACTATCATGAATGACTAACCTCACTTATTAATTTACTTCAACCGCTTTAAAATAATTTTAACAGATGTAATTCATCGTTGTCATTTCCGTTTATAACTGTTGAAAGATCCAAAAAAATTGTGTCTGTGTATAAAAAGTTTCGGGTAAGAATATCTAGTTTAAAGAAATTTTAGAGGTGTTTAATTTGGGATAAATATTAAATGTATTTATCTGCACTATATTTTTCAGTATAATAGACTATTCATCAACGTCAACTAAGCTTTTAAACTGAGAACAATAATTTAAAATAGAAACCGTGTTTAATCTTTCACGTGTTTAATTTTGTAAAAAAAAATTGCACCTTCTGAAAGCGTTCTTAGTGCTTTGCTTGTGAATTATTATTTTCTTAATTACTATTTGGATCTCACTAATATTATGGCAATAAAACGAAGATTATTGAAAGAAGATTTTAAGAAACAAATTTGTAAAAAGTTTGAATCTACGTGGTAGAGCAAATATTTTACGTGGTAGGGCCACGCAGCTATATTTTGATTGTAGCATGAATGTGTCGGCTCAACCGGGAAAGGACCACGCTCTTACACAATACCAACGTAAATTAGCAGCTTAATGCTGCCGTGGTTCGTATGGTGAGTGTAGAAAACCGGAGACGCTCTTTTACTGGTAACGGTGCATTATATCTTAGTCCTCGGGGGTGACAACGCATGTGTATTTTCATTATTAAAAGAAGATAGATATAGATGTCTATGAGCCACAGCATCCGCCTACCATCATGCCCACCGTTGTTCTATAAGTACAATAAAACATTTCTAATTTTCATTATAGCTCTTTAATGTCTTGTGATCTTGTAACAATTTACTATATTATCTTAGCATAACTAAAATTACTATTGTAAGCGCATATTTTATGTTCATTTTATTGTAAAATGTGTTAGCATCAAAATTTTTTATAGAATAAGGGTGAAAAATGAGAAAAAAATCCACTTAATAGTACCTAAATGGTGGATCATGAACATCTACATCTTTCCTCGATTAAGAATCACCCCTGGGGATTAAAAGGAATACCTCGTTTCTAGTAAAACGGGTATCCGGTTCTCTACACTCACCATACGAAACACAGCAGCATTAATCCGCTGTTTTATGCTGGTGTTCTGTGAGAGCGTGGTCCTTCCCCAGTCAAGCCGACCCATTCGGGCTACAAGCACAATATAGCTGCAGCGTGGCTCTACCACGTCTTAAGAACTTTTAAAATCGCACTATCTCTCCAAATTTGTAATTATGTATGCCGTTGCTATATTTTTAACGCATATGCATATAAATAAATATATATTAAACGAACTAGTAAGTTATTGTAATGAAATGAACAATCTGTAGCATGGCTCTACCACGTCTTAAGAACTTTTAAAATCGCACTATCTCTCCAAATTTGTAATTATATATGCCGTTGCTATATTTTTAACGCATATGCATATAAATAAATATATATTAAACGAACTAGTAAGTTATTGTAATGAAATGAATAATCTGTCGTATTAAGTACCTACATCGTTTTAATTTTATGTTGCGTTTAATATGTGAGTAACCTTGTGATCAAAGTAAACAAAGTTTATACTTACGGACAAATAATTTAAAATATTCATTTTATTAAATAAATCATTAACTCTATTAGTATTGCTCTATTTTCTAAATAATTCCAATAGTTATATCCTTTAAAAATAAATAATTTAAATGAAATGAATTTCTAAGTCCGTGCGTTCTTTGTGTACAGTCGCTCTATGTAGAGCTGTAGAGTCAATATAAGACTGCCTTTTTAAAACGATATAACCATTTTATTTTATTTTATTTTAATTATCAACTTTTAATTATTATAATTATATATATTGTAATATTGAAAATTTTAGTATTATAAATAAAATTGTTATTTCTATGCGAAATTGTTTAATTATTTTGATCGCAATATTCACAATGTGTTAAGTATTCTTGTGCATGCCAGTGAGTAGGTATTTCATCTCAGAGTTTACAGATCTGACCAAAGTTTCACAGCTTACCTACAGCTAAACAGACGAGGTATTGGCGCATGCGCGGACCTACGACACACCTGTTCCAACAAGCATACTTTGAAACAGACCTTGCTCATCCAATACGTTACTTCAACTCATACACACATCATACAAACACACGCGTTGTTTTCGTGACTTGTGAAAAACGTTGGTAGAGAAGAAAAAACGCGCGTTCGCGTAGAGGCGCGCGGTCGAGTGGCGGGAGAGTGAGGTGAGTGCGGGGTGCGCGGGGCGCGGTGGGGAGGGGTGCACAGGCGCGCGGAGGAGGGACCCGATTGGCGGGAGGGTGGGGGCCGTCCGCCACGCCCCGACGGGAACGAGGGAACTCACCGCCAGTGTCCGCCAGACTGCCGAGCGCGCCGGGCCTCCCGCTCCCCGCGCCTCGCTCGGCTTCGACGCGTTCCGTAACACAAACCCCCCCGAACTCGACCGTCGCGAGTGCACTATGACACTAGTGAGCTAGCGGGCCGCTGTGACGGTGTCTATATATGTGTATGTGTTCACGTGCTAGTGTGGTGTGTTAGCTTGGGCCCGTGAGAAACGTTCGTTGTGGCCAGCGGAGCCTTGCACCCGGGCTCGGGCCGAGCTTTCATGGCTCAGCCTAGGGTATGTACTAATGAATATCATAACGTACGTAACCATGTTAGGCGCCAGGCCGAGGCACAGATAGAGCAACATGTTAGCGATAGCTCACAGACTAACGAAATGATTGCAGCGTATAGGAAGCTAATCGTAAACGCGGGAAAATGTATTTAAATAACACTGCAAGAGGGAGTAGGCTTTTGCCAAGTCAGTGCTCTTCACCTCCTTCAGCTGCATCAGCACTTACAATCAGATAGTATAGTAGTCAAGTGCTGGCTTAGGATAGTTAAAAAAATCCGCAAAGAATTAGAAATTGAGACGTAAATATAACAGACAAAACCAGGATCATCATAAAAGCGTCCCGGCGTTTTGTAAGTTTTGTTGTACGAAGTTAGAATATGTAATATAATTTTAAAATGCTTCGGACAATCTTTCGCGCATAAAATCCGGCAATTTAAACAAAATTATGCCTTACGGATGTATAATAGTGATAAACTAGTAATAAGTCTATAAAGACATAAGCCATTTAATAAAAATTCAATCCAACGGGCATAGATTAAAACACAATGACCAAAAATATAATTTAGATTCTATCGCCAGTTCATTGATCGCCTAATGACTCTTCTATGCTTATATCTGACATAAATAGTTTTTTTTTAAATTTCGCACATACGAAAGAATATGGCATTATAAATGAATAGGACATAAAGCATGTGAATACATGCGGACACCTGATAGAATTGCTAGTTTGTTAAAATGTTCGCGACAATCAATGGGATAAAATGGCATTGCAGCGGGGTGCCTATTGTCGATGGTTGCTCTTATAGGGCCCGGGACTGGGACAGTAAAATCCTTGCAGGGTTACAAGCGGCTTTGAACGCACGGTTGGGCACAAAAGGGCCTATCTCGGAAACCAACAATAAAATTCAATTGACAATGAAAAGAAAAACTTTTTTGGTGCGTACCACAAAGATTCCCTAACGGAACACGCGGAGACAACTTTCTAAGAGATTTAGGGTTGTATTGTTTTTGGGTGTAAAGGGAAAAAAAGAATCCCTGTTTGCAACTTGGGTCTTTTATGTGACACAAGGGTTCCTAGAAATGAGAATGTTTGTATTATAAAGTTCCATAATCACGAGAGACATGTAAATCTACAAGACTAAAATAAAACGTATTTAATAATTAAATACTATTTTACTAATAAAATGTATTAGTATCAAATTCATGACATATATTTTATCAAAATATACAAAATGAACGCATCTACTTGGAAACAAAAACTCACGGCATTAATCTTCTAAGCAGTTTTTACATTAATGCTTACTTTTATTACCTGGTGCTGAATAATTACTTTGTCTCTGGCGGTCCAAATTACTGCAACATCATTAACAAAAGTACGAGATTTAATAACATAAAAAACTGCACTAGGCTGATAGGTAGATAGGTACTTACAAAGTTTATTGCCTAGCGAAATTAATGAATAGTGAAAGAGTTTGTTAAAAACCACGTAATTGAGATAATAAATCAAATATAATTATTACACTCAATATTTCAATGATTAACAAGTGATGCTACCGTCGGTGAATGATAATCAAGTACAAATTATGCGATAGCCACTTAGTTCACAATATTTGTGTAGTCAGTTGTAGCAAAGTAAAAATACAGATAACACAGGCATGTTTTTACAGATAAAATAGAAAAAATGCCGCCAAAATAGAAATGTCACTTTATAGAATCGCATGAACATAAAAGTCAAAACGCCAATCTCTTTTGATAATAGGTAGGTGTAAGACATTTATGCCATGGTCAGTACGTACGTTATGGTTCTATTTGTATGACCTAGGCAGCTAGTTACTTATTTTATCCTTTCAAAACGAACGACGTATAAATTCGATATGTGCATATTGAATTTAGCGTTTATTTTATATTAAAATATGCGTGAGTTGTCGTTTAAATAAATTATTTTGCGTATCTGCGTTTGAACTAAGATATTGACCATAGGTAAAGGAAAATCTTTACTAAAATGTTAAGTAAGTGCCTAATTAGAAATATAAGTAACTAATAAATGATGTGAAGTATATCACATCATAAACGTAAAGCAAGTGCTATCTTTATGGCAATAAAAAGAGATGAAGCACCGGGCGTGTATTCATTTCCGTTTAAAGTTGAGTTAAAATTGAACAATTTAGATTTGCGACTAAAACGTCTTAAAAAATTAAAATTAGTTACGTGGTAAAGAGTTATGTAAGCAAGATAAATATTTGCATAAATTTTCATTTAAATCGTTGACGGGCTGGCGAAGCTGTATTGTGAGAAATAAACAGCATTGTTAATTAATAGTCTAACGCAAATTCTACTATTCTTGGCGTTTAAAATCTTTTTGAATAGCAAACAGTGATAAATTTTTTTAAATCTTAAGATCTGCGCCGGAAGATAACGAAAAATTATTTATTTTATTATCTGTATTAAGAGTAATGTTCGAACATAACGCTTATTCATATCCGTCGTTGCTACGTAGTAGAATTTAATTTATTATTCAGTTTTTTTTTAAATGAAATTTGTTAAATAATTAGGTAACTTATCATATATAAATGTGAAGGCAAAAAAATATAACTACATAATTTTTTTTTCTAAATATAGTGAGCGTGTATATTTATAATTTATTTTGTTCGTGAAATATTTTGTCATACATTTTCAGCTTATAAAGCGTAACGTTTGTTGTTTTATTATCGAATTAGCTGTAGTTTTACAACGTCACTTGAGTTTACGACGCAATAGTGCGCCTAAATTACACGCCGAATCGTCACACAAAATGATATTGACAGAAGACTTGTCCGAGCATTGTGGCCTGAGAGGATATCGTAAATTTTATGATACACCGATAAGGATATCAATTTGTAGGGTAATAGTGTGGTATAATCGGCGATAATATCGGTTTCGACGGTGGTACCAAATGAGTAGCGATAACGCGCCTTCTGTCGTACCAATGTAACGTCACGTGTAATAAAACGGTACTAAGATGTTTTTTTTTTGATATACAAGAGAAAGCAAACGAGCATGCAGCTCATCTGATGAGAAGTGACTACCATCGCCTACAAATAACTGCAATACTAGCTCTAGCTGGATTGCTTCTTTCCTTTTAAAAAGAGTAGGCTCTTTTCTCGAAGTTCCTTAATTCATATTCCAAAAATCGTCGTAGTCGATTCCACTAGCAAGTGGTGCGAGGAAGGAAACTTCTAGTCACACAATGGTAGACCGTCAATCATCCAGATGATGAAATTTAAGGGTTGGAATTAGTCCGGACAAGATGTAGTCACATCTTTATATTACGCTACAACTTATGCCAGTGATAAATGAAGTGAAAGAAATCTCAGATACAATTCCGTATACAAAACAAAGAGTTTTCAGTAATATGAGGTTTTTGTTTATTTTATTAAACACGTTTACCTTTATTCAGTCCGCATAAAAGTAGCGACTCGGTTAAGAATATGTTAGTTCAGAGTATATATGTATTAGGTACATATATGAGATTAAAACGTGCATAAAAGGCACAGACAGCCTCTCCCCCTTTGTTGTGATGGCTCTAGACTAGCTCTAGTTTTTTGAAATATCTAATCGATGAAAGTCGAAATATCGAAAAAAGAAACCTTTGAAATGAAAACAAACTTCAATAAACGAAATTTTGACTATACCCTATAAAGTTGTAAAAGTTAGGTGTAAATTCCATAGGTAATAAAAACTTGGGACATAAAAGCCTTTTAAATTGTTAATGCATTAGCAATTTCTTTAATCCTTTAAAGCCGTTTGGTACTTTTTACAGTATGAAAATATCGGTCACAAATAAAAAATTCCATAATATCTAGTTACTACAAAAATCTGTAACAATGACTCTAGGTGACTCTACCTATGATGTAGAGTCAGTTGTATTACATTGTATGTTTTTTTAATGGAATTTATTAGATGGATAGGTCTAGGGGTCCGTTTTGTTTAATACCACCGCCTTATAATGATTTCTTAAATTTACACGAACTGAGTGTTCCTGTAAATTTAAGAAATCATTGAATTAAAATAGTTCTATGATATCGCGAAAATAACTTCAACCCGCACCAACCAACAAACAAAAGGAAGGTAACACCGGAATTATAAAAAACATGTTTCTACCTATGTCCGTATAGACTTTGAAACCATCCAGTCAATTTTAATGAAATCTTTTGTGTTTATTTAAATGGGTTCCTAGATGGTTTATATTCACGTATGAACCCGGTAGGTGGCGCTGTTGTCGAAATCCAGAAATCATCCGTGCAGCCGGGCGGATCCCTAGTTAAAAATTAACCCTATTCCCTAGTTAAAGGGAGAGGATCTTTAATTGGCTTACTGTTGTTATTAGTACTATCTATCCTCATTATGATAGCTGTTGGTCTTCCAAATAAAATAAAATAAAAAATAAAATTAACGCGATAAGATTAATTTTATTCAACACCATATTGTGTATTTCTGTCGCCAAAAACCAATGCATACGTTTAGATATGGAAGCCTGTTTGTGCCTGTGAGATACTCTCTATCAATCCTCAGAGATGATAAGCATAAGTAGCTTAAATGTCTGACGATAAGGTGAAAGAAAATAGAAACACAATACCATAATTATTTATATAACCGTAATTTGTTTTAAACTACTGAAACTGAAACAACGAAATCCTTTCGAATCTGAAAACATCCTAACATTTGGTCCATCCCGTCGGTACAATTTATATTTGGTATTCGGTACGTCGTTGTCGGTACGACTGTCGCCTTCGTTCGTCGATACTTGGTATTCGGGCGTTGTTCAGAAACAAAAAATGTATTAATTTTTTAGAAATGTATCAATTTAGCTGTAATATTTCTGTAATTTTATTTACACTTAACATTTATTTAAATTAAATGTGCTGGCGATGACTGGTTCCGTCATTAGCGTGCCGTTAAGTCTTTCTATTAAGATAGTTTTTAAAAATATGTAATTTAAAGATTCCATTTAGATAATATACATG